CTGCGCTGTTGTCTGGGAAGCTGCGGCTATCGATCGCAACGTGCAGTTCCCCGGCCCCCGATGGGCTCCCGACGGCAGCCGTTCGCCAAAATTTCTTTGGCCAAGGGGGGCAGGAGGTCCAGGGCTTTGCGTCGCTGGACGATCGCACCTCCTGTGTAGACGCCAAAAGGGAGGCATGCGCATTTCCTTCAAAGATGGAGCCCCATACGCGAAGCGATGCCAAGCAGCTGGAGTTCGCTCCATTAGGCGGCACCACCCGTGCGATAGCCATGGCGTGCAGGGATTACAGCACCCGATACGCACTGCGCCACTAGCATTCTGTTGATTGCAAGTTACATTAGGGACCGCGCCCCCTGTTCCCACCAATTTGACCCACCAGCCGCTGCGTAGCTGGCTCCATTTCTTGCATGGAGGGGCGATTTGCACCACATTGTGGTCTACACGATGTAGCTCGGTAGGATACTTATCGCAATGGCTTCTGTCACCGGTGCTCCCGCGCGGCTGTAGCGTGGGAGTCATGCTTTCGGTCACGGTGCTGTGATGTGGATACAGATGCTGATGTGCACATCGACAATATGGGCTCGAGGGCTCTGCTGCAGGTGCGCTGCCATTGTGGGAATGGGGCTGCTGGGCGGCCATGCTGCTCTCGGATGTCCAGCCCTGACTTGTGCCAGGCCAAAGCTTCCAAACAAGGGCATTCTTCACATTTGTTCCAGTATTTTTGCGAGTCAACGAACAGGAAAAATATCACAACATCTTTGTTGTTTCCATGAGATAATCCAGTCGCTGGGCTTGTGTAGCAGCAATTCGCTTTCTCAGCACTGGAGGGTTTTTGAAAAGGTCACAACTATTGAATCATGAGTGCTTGGCAGTTGGGTCTGAACTTTGAAAGCGCCTTGGAGGACTCCTTGAAGCCACTTTGGGGTGATGTGCTCCCAGGATTCGGCTGACGATCAGCCCCCTGCTGCTGCTGTTGGTGTTGATTTGGGTGGACTTCCTGGGGTGGATTTTTCTGGGAGGCCAACCCCTCCTGTGGTCCCGCCAAAAACTGGAAGTGGGCTTACTTTGCAGCCATGCTCGTTGAACGAGAAATGCCCAGAGGACAATGTTTGCTACCCACACCAGCAAGACCCCAAGAAAGGTGAGCCCAAAAAGCACAGCGTGCCTTGCACCATCAATTGTACACAAACGTTTCCTCTGAATTTCAGTCCGTTTCCTAACCTACATGCAATATTCAACTGGCTGACGTCACCTGCTTGACATTGCCAACTTTTACCTGCATTTCCCAGCCACAGAACTTCCCATCCCACTGCTCGTCTCAGTTGCAGCTTGTGACCAGTCTGCTTATTGGCGTTCCTGCTGAAGGTGTCTGTGCCAAACCGCCGACGGGGGGAGTCGTCATCCCAGACGATGCTGGAGACTTTCCAGTTCCAGTTGCCTACTTCCCACTCACAGGGCAGTCGTTGAACTCCTGGCCAGATGAGCAGTATGTGGGCGCATCAAATACAGCAACATTTCGTCAAGACTCCCAATTTGGAAGCGTTCTACACTGCAAGGAGAGTGAGTGGCTTGGAAGCCGCGGCGCTTGTCAAGTTTGTTGTCATCTTAACCCTGTGGCAGCGCAGTGGAAGCGGGTGGATGGATAAGTTTGTGGGTTTCATGCGTTCATGAGCGAAAATGCCTGCTGATTGCGACTGTGTACGCTGTATGGTAGAAATGGTGAGGGGGAGGGCAGTTCCTCTTTTGGCCCCAATAGATAGTCATGTTGCACAGGCAGTTGGCATAATTCAGTCTCTCACTGCTCATTTGGGTTTTGCAGACACAGAAGACCTTGTGGTCATTCAGAATGTGGAGTATGGCAGGAATGGGTCCTTCTCCATCTCCTTTTGGATGAAGAAGGACATCAGTGCATCTTCCTTTGGCGATACTCACCAGTTCATATACTCCCACACTACGGTCAGCAACACCAACAACAGAAATGCCGATCCAACGTCGACCAACCAAATTCAAGTTTATCTGCCAGAGATTTCCCATCCTGCGCACGGACTTCTGAGAGTTCTGATAAAGGTGAATTGAGGGGTGTCGATTTCTTGTTGTCGTACCGTGCTGAAGAATCAACTGCTTGGCTATTTCGTAAACTTGGTTCGCAATCAGAGGCGTGGTGTTGGCGGCTGAATTTTTTGTTCTCTTATTATTTAGTTTCTGCCTTCTGATCGCATCACGTGCTACACTTCAGCGCAACCATCGAAGCATCATGGGTTGCCTACAGGAAGCAGGGCCTGTGCGAAATATACTCTCATGTGCTGCTAAGGTCGGCTGGTGTACTGTGTCGACTGTGCAGGATGATAATGACACCCCTGAGGCGTTTTACATGGACTCTGATGGTTCGATTGCCAACAATGACGAACGCAACGTAACCAACCATGTGGAGATTGAAGACGGGAATTGGCACATGTTCACAGTCACAACCCAGCCATCTGGGGGCAAAGGCTACAGAATATATATCGATGGAGAGCTTGCGGCTTCGACTCCAGATTCAAAAGGTTTGCTTTTAGTGGGCAAGTGCTTTATGCTTCCACGTGATATGCACTGAAACCGGCAATTTATTTTTGGTGAACTGCTGTCTACGGTGCAGGAGTTAATGGCGGTGATCCAATTGAGCTTGATGGAAATATCTATCTCTGCGGGCGAGTGGACAATGCCCGCGAGCGCCATTTCGATGGCGCCATTGCAAAACTCAGCATATTTGACGTTGCCCTTGAAGAGGAGCAGGCAAGTAACAATTGGCACTGTTCCTGCGATATGATCCATCGAAGGTGCTGCATTGCCTCATTTTCCTTGTTGTTGAGTTTTCCTTGAATGCCTGTCGCATCCTATCTCCACTGTTCTGGTACTCAGCCTTCTGGGATTACTGAAGGCCCCAATGGACGTTGGAGTGCATGTGCTCTGTGACTAGTGTGGACACAATGTCCCAGTCGCCTTAGCGTACATCATCATGATATCAAAACACGCAGTGTTGCCTCTGTGAAGCTAACCCTCCACCAGTAGATTAATGGCATACTGTTCTCAAATATGTGGAACACGATGCCCAGCAAAGCAGTCTCCTCTCCTACATCTCATACTTTGCACATTGTCAATCAGCAAACGCACCAAGCACATGCGTTACAGCCGTTAACCCGCAGGCTATTAGTGCAAACCATGGCACAGAGTCTTCTGTCTGCTGCATTTACATGTAAATTTGATGCTATCCGAATAAGCCCTATGTTGCTGGCCTTTTTTGAGGGCGTTCGAATGGAAACACAGAAAAGGCAAGTGCACACACGCACGCACACACGCACGCACGCACGCACAATGAAACATGAAACATATGTCCGTTTGTGTGTTTGTCTGGGTTTTCCTGTGCTGGTGGGTGGGTGTGTGGGTGGGGGATGGGGGCTTGTGGTGGAGGAAAACTGTGCAGAGGGCAACAGTACATATTTGCATAGTTTGGTACGTTATTATATGTGTGCGCATGACTGAGGGTAGTATGTGTGCGTAGCTCTGTGTGAATATCTTGAATATCAGGCAGCATGTAGGCATCTGCATTGAGCAATGCTGAAGTGTATATGTCTGGTCACACTCACACAATTGTATCTGTTTGGCTGGGACACCATACGAACGTTGATGTGCCACTGCAACAGGTGCAGTCCTTGTATGCTGCTGTGTGGAAGGGCACCACAGATGGCATCCAAGACACCAAAACAGCCAACGGTGGTTTGCTGTATGCGAGAGGGACTGAGGTGCAGAGGTCGCTCAATACAACAACTGCCTTGGCCGCTGGTGCAGACTACAGTGCCCCACCTCGATTTGATGCGCAGGAATTTGCAAGCAAGACAGATTTCTGCAATGTGGCACCATCTGCTTTGGGTGAGGCACTGTGTATCACTTGTTGCACTGGGACTTGTGCCTGCCAACATGCTGCAGCTGTCAGCGCTAACGGATTTTGTCAATACTGAATCAAGATGCAAGCGTGCATTGACGCCATCAAATCTTTGCCGTTGGAGAAGGGTCGCTCCTCAATACTGGGGCCCATGGTCCCGGGTGCAGTGCTGACATCATAAGTATAATTTGTTGTAATTATAATATTATAGTCATTCCACTGCCTTTCGTTTCATGGAGTTGTGCTGTTCAACTGGTGGGTTATGTTGCAGAATGGCTTACTCAAACAGCACGTACCATTGCATCATATTACACACAGAACTGGAGCAACAGCTCTCGTGCCCGGCTGGCTGTGGCAGCGTTAGTTGATCAGGCAAACTGCTTCAATTATTGCCCTGCCCTCATTCGTGCTGGAGGTGTTTTTGGTAAATCGTGGACGGAAATTTCAGAGCCATGGCCCGATGCATGCACCAGCTCGTTTATCCGTGTTTGCTGGACCAGGGAAATGAACCGCGTCTCTTAACGTTAGAATAGGCAGGCAATGAATATTAAACTTAGTTTTGAAGGTGGTGGTATTGGAGATTGTTCAATTGAAATTCCGTTTGGCAGTGACTAAATGGATATTGGGATGCAGGTGCTGTTTGATGAACACTTGTTTTCTATGAGGTTTTCGAGCCAGCGCACACTGCGTTCGTCATAGATGAACGCATCTTTTGCTCCCTCATTCACTGCCTGAAACTGGCATTATAATTCCGGTTTGCACAATTGTTTGTGAATCGCGTTGAATTACGTCAGCTAGAGGGCAAACCACTTTGAGCATGGACCAGATCTCAACCTAATATTTTTGGTGCTGTTGTGTGAAGTTTAAATGCGTATAACACCTCAAGTGTGCTTCTAGGTGCCGATGAAGCTGACTGTGAGGTACCGGAGATTTGTGCCCCATTGCATATCCGACAGCTCAAGATGCTCGTCAGGATTGCTGACAAGCAGCCAGATCCAACCTTCAAGCTTGATGGCATCTGCACTGTGGAACCCGAAGGGGGTGCCATGAGTCCGAGGGAAGATAGGGATATACCAGAACCGTTTGCTTATTTCCCCTTGACGGGGGGCGATGCAGCGTCTTGGCCAGTGCCCTACGCCCAAGGCACACCCATCAATGTTGACGTGGTTGATGATGCGGCATTTGGAAAGTACGCCGAACAGTTAATACAGTGATGTGAATGCATGTCACATGATGCAATCCACAGCTCCACTTGAAATCCTCTAACTTTTCTGTAAGCGCACTAATATGTGTTGCTTGTGCATCATCCAACAGATGTTGTTTGCCCCAAACTGGCTATGTTGGAGATTTTCGGTTTCACAATACATCGCCTCAAAGTGTAGCTGAGAGGGTCGAAGAATTCCCCACTTTTGAAGACTGAGTTTGCAAATACAAAACTTTGTTAGAACTGGGATCAACACCTTCAACACATGTGGCGTGCTTCATTCTGTCACTGTCCGTCATCTTTATCAATACTTCTTTTGTTGGCAAGAGCCATGGACCATGCCTGCTACAAATACTCATAAAATCGTTAGGCATCAGCTTTTCATATGTTCTGAGCAGTGCTATTGGGAAACTATCTGCCCAGCGTTCAAAGTCACATCAGTATTTTGATGCAGCTGAAAAGATGCAGTTACTTATTGAGGGAGCGAAATCCTGGTCAATGAGAATCACCATTAGAAAAAATCCAGGGCGTCGAGTCCGCAGTGCTACTGACTGATGGCGCACAGTCCAGCAAACTGTGTGGAGTCCACGCAATCTTCAGGACCGACAAATAGCGCAGTTCTTGGCATGGGTGCTGAACTTTGCTTTGCATATTAAAGAGGACGAGTCGTGGCCAGGGAACAAGAGGCCCTCTCTGACACTGCTCCTCTACGTCTGCTCCTATGCTCCTCTACGAACCCAAAACAGCAATGTACACTCCACGGTTTTGTGCTTTTAAATGCATTCGCGCTGCAGACACACGATTTTCAGCAATTCCATATGCGCAGCTTCCAGATTGAATTGTGTAGAGTGGACTTTGGGCTGCCAGTGTATTTGAGATATAAGTCTGTTGAAGAAGTCAATCGCAGCTGAGTGGAAAGTCCGACAATGTGTGCGTTCTCCAGGGTGTTCCAATGCAGTGAGGAGGCAGGCAGTTACATAGTTTTGGACAATGTTCCGTATGGTGATTCTGGCAGTTTTGCCGTATCCTTCTGGACAAGGTCTTTGAACAACACCGGAAACACATTCCAATACATCTACTCTCATGCCGGCTTGAATGTCAGCGATAATCCGTGGATAAAGAACCAGGTGAGTGTGCGCTTGATGCGTTGCCAACGCGCTTTGGCTGCACGTTGACACACGTGCTGCATGTGTTGATGTAATGTGCATGGCTAATGCCACCAGTCTTGGAGTGTTGTAGAATACATTGCCACAATCTATCAATGACGGTGATGCATGCTCTTTATGCAGGTTCAAGTGTATTTGGCGGAAACGAACCACAGCTCCCGTGGCATACTGCGCGCAATTGTCAAAGACATTGATGATGTGGAGGACGGCGAAGAATCAGAAATATACCTGGATTCTGATGGAGATGTTTCCATCACTCTCAAGGACAAAGCAGGTGGGTATGGACGATCCTCCATGCGAGGGTGAAGTGTCCTCTGTCCATTGGAGAGCACGCTTGCCCCTCTGGTGTTGGGCGTCGTGCCAGTTTGCGTAATGTGGTCGTAATCCTGTGTGCACTTCACGATGCTGCAGAGATTCAGAAGGAAGCGGCTGTAAATGCCACGGATGGCCAATGGCACATGGTCACTGTGACAACGCGCACTGATGGCAAAAAGGGGTTCTCCATATTTGTTGATGGCATACTGTCGGGAGAGATGGTCGAGGACGTCACCTACACAGGTGAGCCACGTGCTTCCTATGATAGATGGTTGCTCTTGGCCACAAATGTCTTTTCATGGAGTTCGCAAACGAGCGATGTGTACTGCGAGGTTGCCATCCTGAAACGTCTGTGGGGCTGCCAATATAGGGGCTGATGGTGTTATACGAAGAGCCACTGGCGGAGATCCAATGCGAGCAGGCGGGAATATCTATCTCTGTGGGAGACACGATGGCAACCCAGAACGTCACTATGATGGCCTCATTGCACATTTGGCTCTGTACGACTCAGGTCTCTCCAGTGAGGAGGTAAATGTCTGCGAAGGTTGGATTGCCTCTAAATTATGCCATTGTTTGATATACTTGTTCTGGAGTAAGTTCTTCAGGATTTTGCAGAACTGACTAGTGAAGAGGGTGTGTGGCATGAGCTACAGGAATGGTATTGTGCTGCAAGGTGCAGTTGTGTCAGTTGCACCTAGCCTCCAACTTATTTTGAAGCACTGCATGATTGACTGGAACGGTTTATAAACAGCGCCGACGATCAACGATGTTGCATGCTGGTTCCAAAGATGCAGCCAACAATTTATATTGCAGCAATTGGAGCAGACAGTGCCGTTGGGATGTTCAACTCACTACGCTCTAATTGGACAACAGTATGACTTGTAAAACGATGCGACCATGTCAGCTTCTTGTTGAAGCTGTACAAAAAAGCACTCTGGCAACGTGTGGTCAAAAAGTAGTTTTGAGTGGGGTGGCATCCCTGTGTTCATGGACCTAGAATTCGACTTTGTACTTTACATCCTGAAACATGAGCCAAGGCTGCAACTACTCCATACATTCTCGTTCAGAGTGGCTGCACAATGCAGGTTCGATGTTCTGATGGCACATTTTGCTCATATTATGTGATGGTAGGCACGGTGTTCAGTGCATTGCAAATATCAATATGCTCGTTAGCACATAATCTTTTCTCTGCTTGAGACAACCATTGACTCCCATTCCTGCGATTGCACAGGTGAAAGACATTTACAACGGGGTACTCGAATTGCATGCAGCACTGAAGACAATGGCCACATCAGGTGTGCAAGGCGATCATTCCATCATTTTCCAATTATCTAACATTTTTGCCATGCTGCGTGCTGGTCAATTTTCACTGCATTCTGTTCAGTGCAGAGCACTATGCCGCTCTGTATTTCCTTGAGACGGCAACACGGAACATGCTTTCCTCAAGATAATTAGTGGGTTTTATCGCGAATTTTGAGTGTCGCCTGATGAATGAATTCTGCATTTGTGGACAAACTTTTGTTTTAACCATACCATCCACCAATCAAGTATCCTTGCTATATCTGGCTGTGGCTGTTTATCTCAGCATACCTTCTGACGAGTGTATGAAGCAGGTGACTCAGGCCGCAGAAGATCTCTGCTACAGTCTCCTGGATCTGCATCAAGAACACAGGATACTTTCCAGCCCCTCACGCCACCCTTCCAACCCCGATTTTCATTCGGTGCTATTCCCACAGCTATCCCTGTTGCTCTCCCACCGGGGAGCGTTCCGAGGGGTTCATGGCAAGGAGCCGTCACAGGCCAACCAGGAAAGTTCTATGGACGCTGCAGTGGGGACTACGCACAGGGCATAGGCATATCGAATGCTCCGGAATGCCAGGAAGGATTGGTAAGTGCAACATTATGGGATATGTAGACTACAAGCTGGGAAATGCGTCAGCAACACAGACAAGCAGCTCCCACTTCAACCATTGAAGGGACCTTCTTGGATGGCGCAAAGTTGTTGAAAATCTTGCTTCAGAAAACTATCGGGAGCTGTGGCTGTGCACAGTTTGTCCCATTTCATCGGTCCACTGCTTCAAGAACACTGCGGGCACACTGAGGATGAGTACCTCCAAGTGCTGGTGTGGATGCAGGACACTGATAGGCAAATGAAGACCTTCGCATGATCATGCCACTAGCCATTGTACTCGAAATAATGTTTTCCATTGCTTTCTCAATATCGCAATTTCTCCAGTATCAGATGTGCTTAACGACCGGTTTGGTTGCAGACGTGCATCCCAATTCTCACCCCCACCTTCCGCGGCGATTCTGGTGGGCAGTTGGAAAGGGTTGGCGTATGTGCCAGATTTCCCAGCGACGGCGCATACATCTTCGATCCCAAGTCGGTGTTGACAATCCCCATTGCATACTTTCCACTTACGAGCACCGACCTAAACTCGTGGCCATTGCCGGTCTTTTCTGGGAGAGCCCCTAAAATCAACTTGATTGAAGATGAAGTCTTTGGATCTGCACTGGACTGCCAAAAGGTAAGGCGCAATGAACTCCATGTTTGCATGGTCCTGTGGACCCACATAAAGCATTGCAAACTCTGTTTTGGTGCATCACCGTACCTGATAAGAGTAACGTGGAACAGTGCACATTGCTACATATTGGAACCCAAGCTTGTTCGTCATGTCCGCCTACATAGCCTTTCTGATGTTGGCAGTTAGCAGCTCCAGAAGGAAATAAAAGTTCACACCCATCCTTTCCTTTTGGACAGTCTCAGCAGCTGCGAGTGAAATATATTGCATCTGTGAGAAAGTGTGCTGCTGAGCATGAAGCCAATTGACGAATTGCTTTCCCATGCCACATCGCACTATAGACATCCCTTTGCATGCTCTTGGATGTCTTGAACTGTATTCTGCCTCAAAAGTACATGTGATGGATTCTGAGATTGCTGATATGCAGGCACAGCACTTGCAATAGCCTTTGCATCATCTGAGACCTGTGCCGAACGCATGTCCAATTTGTGGTCGACTTTTGAGCAGATGCCAAAGCTTTAGAAATATTGGAGATTATCAGAAAAAAATGTCGATGGCGTACCATTCTGTTTGACTGCAACTGAGTGAAGACCCTCTTTTTCCAGGGGGTAGTTTGAACTTGCTAGTATTTGATCACGAAATCAACTTACATGAGACTCAGTACACAAAGAAACGATGCTTGCGACATTCCAGCTTACTTATACACCTACGAACATGTAGGCTGTCTGGACTGCACAACCATCAATGGCTCATATGAAGTGCGGGTGCAAAGAACAGCAGGGGTTGAGCTCTTCCTTTCTGGGAGCATTGCATATTTGTGTAGTTCTACGCATAACATGAAGTGTGCTTTCACGCAGCCAGGAATTGCAAATTGTATGTGACCAGAACGCATAATGCATAATGATTGTTTGAACCCTGACATATTTACTGACTGTGCCAGAGCAAGCAAGATGAAGTGATTCTGGACAACGTAGGCTATGCTACCAGTGGCCACTTCACTGTGAATTTGTGGATTCGGTATCGTCGGAAAGCCATTGACGACGATGCATCATATGAGTTCGTTTTCTCTCACACAGAGCCTGGAGCGCAGGCCTCTGGAAGCGGCGCACAGGTGTGCTTCCCAAAAGAGGTTGTTCAATGAGGTTTCTGGAATCCATGTGGCTGCGAGATTACATCAGTGCATCCAGTTGTGAGGCCTGACTATGGAATTCAATGCAAGACTATTGTGAAGATATGAGCCCTGAAACCCCAGCTCAGCGTCAGCTGGCCAGCTACAATTGTTGTCATTCCCTTCTATCTGGATTCCAAAGACCCTGTCCTTTCTATGATCTAATGGTATGCATGGCGCAGCCTCTGACTTGCCTTTCAACTTGCCTTGCAGATCGAACTCTACATGCCTGGCCCTGGAAACCCTCAACTGTTGGGGCGCATTCAGGCTCTTGTTAAAGATTCTGATGATTCAAATGACGGCGCATCGCCTGGGAAAGCAGGAACTTCCGATTTGGATGCTTCTTCCAATGGCAGCCTTCTCTCCAAGGAAAATTCAAGCAGCGTCACAGACGGGATTTGGCACATGATTACCGTCTCCAGCCACGAGGCTGGTACACACGGATATCGATTGTTCGTTGACGGCGTGCTGGTGGGAGAGAAGAAAGGAGAATCGAATGTGAGATCCACTGCTGCTCCCTCGTGTTCTGGCCAGATGGAGAGTTAACAGGCTGTTAATAACTGCTAATAACAGCACTGCGTTGTAAATATTGTGCACTGCAACAGGGTACAAAATTTGTTCCGGGACTCTCGCAAGGGTCTCTCATGGGCAGCTTCATAGTGCAGTAGCCAATTGGCGATGTGGGCAGGCGCATAGTAATCAACTCGGAATTTCGTAACCCTCCACAATGTTTAGCACCGAACAGTTGTGGCTTCTTGGCATGGACTCTTGGGTTGTGTTTGACCACTTTTGCATCGCCATCTCTACAATGTTCGAACGTTGATGCACAGGTGCCTGGTGGCGATCCCATCGACATTGAAGGGAAAATTCACCTCTGCGGGCGCTCCGACGGCAACTCTGATGTGCATTTCGATGGCAGTGTAGCCCATTTGGCGCTGTACAACAAGGCACTGGGGCAGCAGGAGATACTGGCCCTGTATGAGGAGTTCGTCCTTGTTTCAAACGGCATACAAGTAGCCCACCCAACGCGCGCCACGACGACAGGAGAGCCATGCGTGTTTCCAGGCATCAGCGGGTGCGTCAGTCTCACTGCAGACGGTCTTCGCTACTTTTTGCGGTGCCTCATCGCATAGGAAGATGAGCTGTCCATTTATTTTAACACCGATTGCAGTTTGGAATTTGTTTTGTTCAGCCGTGCCTTTTGAATTGGTGTGAAGACTAAAGGCATTAGCCCTTTGACTGGTACAGAAGGTTACAGCGGATTGGATTAGAAATCGGCACTCGAGCGGAGCTTGTGCCACCTTATGCCGCACATGAACTTCCATTTCGAAAGTCTCCAACTGCGGGGTTCCGCCGTGTGTATTTTCAAAGATTTATTGTGCTTCCCTTGTGCTTGTGATTGTGGCACATTCAGTGGTTGCAGCACCGCGCTCACTCGCACCCAGGTTGCCTGCCACCCAGCACCATTTCTGGGTGAGGGTACTTGCTGAACATGTGAAATGTCGTGGTGCTCACAGAGGCAAGCTGGTTGTCGACTGCGTTCCTATCAACGGCGTATTGAGCTGCCCAGTGAAGGATGGCACCTGGGTGGAATGCAAAGCCTTCAACCGGTCAGCTGAGGCTTTTGCAGAGCTGGACAAACCATCGGTTCCTCAGGTCAGATATGCAGCGGTGCCAGCCTGGTGCAGTTCTTGTGGTTGTATCTGGAGCACAAGGTGTCTTCCATTTAGGGGAACACCTCCACGTCGCAAACCCATCGACAACGTCGGAGCCATTTACTCCTGCTTGCTCCCTTGCTGTCGATTTGATTGCCTTGGCGCGATACCGTATTTACCCGGTATTAGTAGGCGTGTATTGGACCCCGAAAATGAGCAGGGGATACTAACAGTGGGTCATGTATACTAACGCGGTTTGGACCTCTGTTCCCAAGGAGTAGACAAAGAAAACTTTTGACAAATAGGCCGTGAAATGCCCAGAAATGAGCAAAAATGACAATGCTATTACTGAACGTTGTCAGCCTCTTCACGGGAGTTACGCCGGGCGGTTGCACTTGGGGCTACACCAGGTGGAGGCGACTGGCGATTGGGGCCAACAGGGGTTCGCTGGAATGCTGGAGGCGCGTTTGTCTCTGCAATGCAGAGAATGAGGACCGCCATGGGTCTCGACTCGCTGGGGCGCCACGTCGCGATGATAGGCTTCACACGCGGCGTTTTCCCAGGCTGATGGCGGCTGGGATGGCTGATGGGATCTTTGATTGTGTATGTGGCCTGGTAGCCAATGGGATGTGCGAATTGGGGTTTGGGTCCGGCCTTCGCAGCCTTCTTAGGGCAGTTTTGTGATGCGGTGTCTCACAACGGCGGCCGCCCTGACCAGCACCGTTGCCTGCTCATTCCTGGCGCTGGGTCTTGGGGCTCCCTTGGCAGCCGCCAGGCTGGAACCTGCTCTGGCCGGCTGGGGAGCAGGTTGACTAAATCCAGAAACTAAGGCAGCTTTAATTCCTCGACCGCTCCTTTGATCGGGCCCCGCGGCATTGGTCACTGCCCGGCGATCCTGCGTTGAGAGTGCCAACAACGGGCAGTCGACCATGCGGCCTTTTTACAGGCCCCCTTCCAAATTCTTCCTCGACAGCATCCACCCCGGCCCGATCGTCCCCGTCGATGCGCGAATCGCAGGGAACCTGGTTTGGTCCTGTCTGGGTAGTGCGCTCCAACACCGGTCGCACACTACCACACACTTACCACCACACACACCTACACACTTACCACCACACCTTACCACCATCAGCCCCTTCGCTCGTTTCTGTCTGTGTTTGGGGGTGGATACTAATACCGGGTCATGGATATTAACGTGGTTTCGATCCCCAAAGAGGGGGATGGATACTAATAAGGGGTGCCTACTAATACCGGGTAAATATGGTATGTGTTCACGGCACTCGATGCCACAACTTCAATGTCCCACGCATCACCGACGCATACTTCAGTCGCTTCAAAACTGTGTCTCCATTGAAGTGCATTTTGCAGATGAATGCCCGTGTATTGCTTCGAATTAGAAGCTTTGTAAGGCGCTCAGGTGAGCGCCGTTGTATGTGCTCTGAAGATGCTGGTTCGTCTGCAGGGAGTCACTCGGACTGTGACCGGGGAGGTTTGCCGTTTCCCATCAAAATTTGGCGGCAAAGATGTCTACTCTTGTGTGAAAATCGACGGAATTCCGAAATGCAATGTTGGGAATGGGCAGTGGAAACGATGCGCTTCAAAGGTACTTGCTGGAACACGGGATCTTTCAGATACCCTCTTCTGTTAGATACATCTGGTGCACGTGCAGTTTCAGTGGTGGTGTGCATTGCAGACCAGGGAGAATAATGTGCGATAAAGTTTGTCTCGTCGAAGCTGCGGGTGAATTTTCCAACGGCTTGTTGAGCTTCCTGTGATGCATGTTGATACAGTTCTTTTCGCTCATTTTCTCTTTTGTTTTAGAAGCCTTCCATGGCTGTTTGACTGACCAGTTCCACATATGCTCACAAGAGAAGCATACGTTGAAATGCCGCGTTCCTATTGGTGCACTAGGGTTGAGTAATTTTTAAGTACTCGTGCAACGGCGATTTTGCGGTTGAAAAGAGCTAGATAAGAGACATGGATGCCAAAATATGTTGCTTAAAATGGAAATCGTTCATAGGGATGCTGGAAGGGTCCCAAATTGCACATTTTTGATGGCATACATCAAGCAAATTGCATTGCATTTGCCTTGTAGATGGGATGGCGAATTCCTCGTGCGCTTGTTCTCAGTGTTCTTCGGCTTTGGTCCAGGGACACATAAGATTCACGAAGCAAGGAGCTCGGTGTGTATTCCCATTCACGTATGAAGAGAAAATATACGTGGATTGCGCAGTCATCAACAGGGTCGAGTCCTGCATGGTTGCCAATGGCAACATTTATCCGTGCGCTGGCACTTCACTGGGATCAGATGGGGCCAGCGTGGGGCCTGATGATGTGGACGATGTTCCACATCCTGATGAGGCAATCACTAGAACTACGATCGACAGAAAAGCATGTATTTTCCCATTCTGGCATGAAGGTGCGGATCCGATGCCGAAATGCTGACTAGACGTAGTGCTTACAGCGATCTTTCTTAGCCGTTGAACTCCTGCATTTAAGCTGGAAATGTGAGCGTATGCACGGTGCATCTTGGCCATTTATTCACTTTCCAAGTTGTGAATGAACAAGATTTGCTGTGAGGTACTTCGTCAACAGGACGTGGGACATTGATTGCCCTGCAGTAGTGCCATCACAACCCAATTCAGGGTTGTGATATTTCGGTGCATACACAAGGATTTGAAAGTAGCAGCACACGTCACTGGAAGGCAGGCCTCCAAACAGTGTTGAATCCGAATATCTTGAATACTCGTGTACTCGCCAAACTGCAGTCCTGTTGCCTGTTGCACTGTTTTATGCACACAACGACTGGATGCGACCACAGTGCTTTCGCAACACACGTGGTAAAGAACAACACGTGGTGTGTTGTGGGTGATTACTGACAGGCTTGGTTTTTGCGACGTGAAAACTGGACGTATTTACGTCTTTACACGCGAAAGTAGTTTTTACGTTTTTATGCGTCAAAATACATAAATTACGTAAACACAACGTAAATGCGGCTCCGTGTACACAAGGACAATACGCACAGGGTTAGGAATCCGGGGAGTGGCGGTCGGACGCGCTGGAATGGGTAGACAACCAACTTTTGTTCCATGCCGTCGTTGCTCTCGCCGAGGGCAAGGTGGGCACTGTGTTACGGGTGCTGGAGATGGCAGAAGACTGACCATTGTACGCAACTTTCATCGTGTAACCTGGCTGTCCCAGCGAGCCGCCAAAACGTAGAAACAGCCGTAAAAATATCTTCTTTCGCAAATTTACGTTTTTACGCATAGAAAATTGGCGCAAAAACGTTAACGTAAACGTAAAGACCAAGCCTGGTTACTGACATCTCTTCTGCCTGGGTTGTGCACCAGGCAAGTCGGTTGCTGGCTGCGTCATCGATGGCCAATCCCGTACCTGCCCAGTAGCAGGTGGAGACATGAAGCAGTGCAGCAATCTCATCTTCACAAAAGGTGGCAACCCATGCGCATTTCCCTTTCCGGATGATAAAGGAGATGACCAGTTTTCATGCATGAGGATTAATGACACGTCCGTGTGCAGAACTGCTGCTGGTGTGTACGAGGAGTGTGTTGGACCGCTGGTGAATGGGAATGCACTTCCTGACATCCTGCTGGCAGGACGGGTGACCGTTGGAGGCGACAAGTGTACACTGCCATTTTGGCATGGGGTAAGTGGCTGGCAATGCACTAATCACTAAACTGATGTACAGAAAATAGTTTCAAAAGCAACATATATCCGTCAGAATGTCCTCAACATGGTTCGCTGGCTGTCTGGCATCTGTCGAACGGGACCAAATTTCGCAGGCGTCTTAGGGCAATGGCTGCCAGCGGATTGGTGCACTTCCACTTGTGTCCCCCATGCCCTGCATTCTGTGGATGCAAGTGCACACTGCGTGGCGTCATGTTGCTCCGCAGAAAAAGTCATCTTCCCACATACAAGGGCTTCCATACAACAAGATGGCGGTGCAAATGCTGCTGCGTTTTCTTTTGCATGCCTTGCACGGAAATTGTGTGCATCTCGGAGCCCAAGCGAGGATGTGCAAGTGCGAGAGAGTGTTGGTAAAAGCGGTGGTTTGTTAACAACCCATTGTTGGTTTCCACAGAAACGCCTCGTCCGTGACTGCATCGTTGTGGACTCGGTTGAAAAATGCAAGGTCGAGTCTGGCGAGCTTGTTGAATGTGCTCCCAGGCGCACTACGACTACGGGAGACCAGTGCTCGTTTCCTTTTGAGCACAATGATGAGCAATACGACGACTGCATCAAAATAAATGGGACAGAGAGTTGCATCACAATGACTGGCAGCATTGAGGAATGCGCTCCACTCCAAGTCCTTGCTGTCGATGCTGGAGCGGCAGTGAACACCAAACCAGAGGCAAAAGAGTCTGTGGTGCCTCGCATCACGGTTGATGGAGATAGTTGTGTGTTTCCTTTTTGGTACCGGGGATCTTCCATTGCCAACTGCATCCCCGTTGATGGAGTGGACGTGTGTCCAACTGGCAATGGGAACCTGGCAGAATGTGAGCCATTGGTGTTTACGAAATCTGGCGAGCCTTGCGCGTTTCCCTTCTACGACGAAGCATCCAACAGCACGAAGAAGACCTGTGTGCCTGTTGATGGGCGTGACAGGTGCAGGACAAAGAAGGGAGACTGGGAAGAATGCTCGTGGCAAGGAGTGGCTGAGGAATTTGAGGAAGCAACCAAAATTGTACCAGGAAGAGTGACCACCTCCAACGAGCCATGCGTGTTCCCATTTTGGTATCGGGGCGCCCTGACGACCACATGTGCAGAGGCTGATGGAGAGCCTCACTCGGGATTTTGCATGACAGCAGAGGGTTATCCAAAGGAATGTAAGCCGCCTCGGTTTACAAAGAGTGGCAAAGAGTGTTCCTTCCCATTTCGCCACGAAGGCGTTGTTTCGTACGACTGCATTGACCGCAATGGAACAGAAGTGTGTGTGACAGCTCAAGGCGATTTTGAGGTGTGTGACACACCCAAAGCCCCAGAGTACCACCAACACAAAGAAAACCATGAAGACAGTGCTGGAAAGATTGTCAGCAGGGTGACAGAAGAAGGCGAAAGCTGTGTTTTTCCATTCTGGCACCAAGGTGGGTTGTTCTAATCATGCAAGATTCTGGAATGCATGTGAGCATTCCACTGTTATATAGTGGTGTACGGTGAGCGTGATGATGGATACATGGATCTGCTACCTTTGAGTGTTTAGATGTGCCGCCCGTACACAGCGATGTACTCTGAATTGAGGGCTCCTCGTGCTGGTTCAGCGAAGTGGGCTGGCTGCTGCCCTTGAACATTATGCCACGCAGGGGGCGTTCCAGGATGAGCAATAAAAGCCACATGAAATGCATTGCGCTGATCCTGTGCAGCTTGGGTTCAGAGTACATTTATCACCTTCTGGAAGCTGTTACTCCTCTACAGTGAGTTCTGCTTTGCATACTGAATCGCGTGTTTGTCCCATTCCAGGGAAATCCGTTGCCAGCTGTGCAAACATTGGTGGCTACGACAGCTGCCTGAATGGCCTTGGGAACCTTGTGCGCTGCACGCCTCTCATGCAGACAGATGCCGGTCAGCCCTGCGCATTTCCTTTCCACGAATCAGGTGAAGCGCATACCAAGTGCCTGGCCAGAGGTGACAGGAAGATGTGCAAAATAGGCACTGGAGAATGGGCAAACTGCACCATTCCATTGTCTGCAAACGATCTGCCAACAACTTTGCTGGCTGGGCGAGTGACTGTGGATAACCAGAAATGTGCCTTTCCGTTCTGGTACCGAGGGAAGCTTGAGAGTAGGTGCATTGATGGAAGGTGTCCAAGCAGTAGCGGTGAATGGATTGACTGCCGGCCAGAGCAATTCACCATTTCTGGAAGGTTGTGCTCTGTGCCGTTTACTTTTGGTGGTGAACAGCACTCTGAATGCATTTCAGTCGATGGAAAGCCACAGTGCATGACGGCAGAAGGCAATCTAGAAGAGTGCTCAACCACTTCTCAGACAGAGACAGCGGAACGGGCAACAGTGGATGAGACTTTGGATTTGGGTAGCCAGATACTCAGCCGTGTCACTGTGGATGGCGAACAGTGTGTATGGCCGTTTTGGTACAAAGGTCGGTCAGTTGGGCAATGTGTCCAAATTGATGGTGAAGAGAAATGCCCCACAAACACAACAGAACTCAAACAATGTGCACCCCTCATTCCAACCGCCTTGGGCAGTGTATGTGCCGTTCCATTCATGGATGACCAAGGGCAAATGCGAAAGGAGTGTGTGAATAGAGGTGGCAGGCGAATGTGCAAAGTGCAAGATGGCACTTGGGACGAATGCATAGGCATCAGCGGACAGCCCACCCAAGTGGATGGGTCAGCAGTGTTGGCTGGACGTGTCACTGTTGATGGTGATGCCTGTGCATTCCCCTTCTGGCATGAGGGTGTCCTGGTGACTACATGTGTGACAGACTCTGCTGGCAACAGCTCAGGGTGGTGCCGAACTGGGTCAGGCAGAAAAGCAGACTGTGCCCCAATCCAAACCACAGTGCGGGGATCTCAGTGCTCTTTCCCATTCAGCCACGATGGCTTGGCCAGCACCAGCAAATGCATCAATATCAACGGCGAGCTGCAATGCAAGACAGCCCTTGGAGATTTTGAAGAGTGTGCGGACCTCCAGATTGCGTCATCAGCAAGTACCATTATCAGCCGTGTGACGATCGAAGGGGATCAATGCCTCTTCCCATATTGGTACCAAGGTACGCTTCAGCGTCGCGCGCATTGGTGCTGTGTTTTTAATCTGTGGGATACTCTTCTGGAGCGGTTGTTGTAATGGTGGCGCCTAAGTAGGCACTGACTGCGTGTGTGCAGGCCGATCTATTGCTGATTGCGTTTCAGTCAACGGAATTGAAAGCTGTCCCACCAGAGCTGGAATGAGGCCGTGCCGGCCTCTCACAAGCACTGCAAATGGGGGCATTTGTTCTTTCCCCTTCCCTGGCGATGACGAAGTGATGCATTATTCCTGTGTGACGAGGAATGACACGCAGAGCTGCAGAACAAGTGACGGTAAATGGGCGGAATGCACACAACGCCCAGTCCCAGAAGGAGCGGTTCATGGAACAACAAAGCTCATGACGGGCCGAGCTACCATTGATGGAGAGCAATGCGTATTTCCGTTCTTCTTTGAGGAGAAAGCCGTGATTACCTGCGCTGGTAGGTCGAAAAAGATGCCCAACGGGCAGTGCATCACCAGAGATGGTGCTATGAAGGAATGCGCCCCCGTTTGGATGACCTCACAAGGGGACTATTGTTCGTTCCCTTTCACGGTGGCTGGCAAAGTCCATCACCAATGTGTGCCATTGGGAGGGAAAGACGTCTGCAAGACCGCTGATGGAAGTTTTGCAGAATGCAAAGGCAAGGTCAGAATTTTATCGGAGCTTGACGGCAGTGCATCTGGCTCCAGCTCGAGCGCCACCATTGGGGTAGCAATCGGATCATCAGTAGCAGTGGCAATTGTGGCGGTCGCAGCGATTGGAATTGTCGTGTACGCCAGGAAGAGATCAGGATCCAGGAAGGACACAGCATCGATGGGGACTTTCAAGAAATTCCAAGATCAGCAGGTAGCGTGGTGGGGATAATTTGATGATGCCTTTCTTGGCTATTGCTTCCCTGCATTCCTGTGCAGATGCAAGTGCTGAATGCGAAGTTTTGCCCCTTGAAATGTGAAGCCTCGGTGCCCTTACTTCTTCTCAGTTTCTCACTGCGGTTCGCCTGTTTCGCTGCTTAACCTACTGAGGGATAGATGCTGCTCTTGTCGACTCACACACGAGTTGCTGAAAGTGGGCCGAATTGTTGTTATATTCATGGGTATGTGAGGGCGCTGCCCTCGTCGGAGGTAAGCTTGTGGGTGCAACAAGCTCATTGTGTCTACCACTGCTCAAAGACCAACACTGTAAGTCTCCTGCCCAGTGTACATGGAGAACCCACACAGTCAATCCAGATCGATCTGGTATGCTTGTTTAGTCGCAACGCTTATTGCCATAAGCAGGTCGTGTGTGGCAGCAGAGTCAGTGCAGTCACGTGCCACATGCGATTTGGTGGGACCTTAGGAGTGAAGTTTGCGTTGCGTCTTTCTTCAGGTGACTTCCGGGCCTGGGAGGGACATTGCGCTGCAGGGCATTGCATCGAGTGTCAAACTGAATAATAAGGCCGGAAGAGGGAAGAATCAGTGACGGCAGAATGCACGAGATGTTGGGCCACATGTTCCCTTGGGGCCTCAGATTGAATCGCGACATGGATCAAGCTCTCGTGGGGGATGCCGGGCTAAACGTGTGCCATGCATTGTTGTGCATTGTTGAGATAGACGTGAGGAGTTTTTATTACCGGGAATGGCATGCTTCTTCGACTAAAGTCTTATGCTGTCGAAATTGTACCCTCGCGCAGAACCTTGGCGCTGCTCGGTGCGATGATAGTGCAGCATCCAAAGGTTTCTGTAGATCTAGGAAGTGCATGATTCATGCGCATGCAAAGGATGTGGCGCCCTTGAACTCGCGAGCTACAAATGCGCTGTAGAACCGTGGTGTTAACCCTGGGATTGAGATGACCTTAGGAGGGATGCAGCGTTCGAGCATATGATTTGATGTCGATACCCTCCTGGCGGATAGTTTCAATTTTAAAGAACGCCGAATAATTGACATGTAACGTTCCTGCGCCTCCTGGCAGTGTAGTTGTGCCGGTATATTGACCGCCACCAAGCAGTTGGGGGTGAGTCCAATCGACGAGTAAGTCAGTATCCTCTCTTTCTTGGCAATTACTAATGTAACGGGGTGTTTGAGAATAATTTGGGGGGTATCATCACATCCTCATCAGCGGCTTGCTGCTGTCAAAGTAGCCTTCGTCGCAGCTGCCCATTAGGGCTGGTGAGCTGCCGCTGCTGCCTCGCTAATGTGAGAACCCAAGCCTTCTACTTCCTCGCAGAGGCGCTGCCGAAGCAAGGCACTTCAATTCAGCGTTCGTGAGCAAACAAGCTGATCATTGAAGCCAGAATGTCTCCACCTACATGCTCAGCCTTTGTCGGGCATTGTTCATCGTAGCTAACTGACTTGCAATCGGGCGATGGCTCACTTCACAAACAGCACAAGTCATGGATTCACGTCGATCGCCGTGCAGCACCTCGATTGACGGATGGCGACGCCGTTTAGCAGCGGATACAGATTTTCTGAACCAGCTAGGTGTAGGGCAGCGCTCCATTACACCCTGGCTCATACGACGATCAGCGATACGCAGCTGGATTTAGGGTTCACATTCTAGTGTTTCAGCATGAGATCCTGGAGGGTTTGCAAGGGAGACTATGTAACGATTTCTGGCACTTGAATATCGCCGATGTCGTGCCTGTGATAACGGAGGCTAAAACCTCCCATTATCGGCACAGCAGGTCACCGAATCGGCATTCCTTTGCAGCTGTGACAAATACCTGTGTGCTTCGAGGGGGTGCGATGGTCGTTTTCTCATGATCTCTGTTCATGAACTCATGCAATTCACCGAATCGCCATGCGAACGCAATGCAACGTCACGATCGCTAGGTTGTAAATCAGTGCGCCACATGCTGTACGACAATGGGCCAGTGCCTGCGCACTCAGACTCGGCCCTTAGACCACTTAGGCCCTCAGACCACGTTCCCAAAGTCGATCGCTTGAAGCTATTGTACTTGGACGGCACCTCAACGTTTGCACATAAGGAGGCGCTCCAAGTTTTCCACGGTCAACCAGGTATGTGTTACATCGTCGTCCAAAACAATAGCCAGGAGATCAGTCCCACGGTGGGTGGCTGCAGGAAACCCTCTGCATGCCCCCTACTTATAGCGCTAGCCGGCTGGCCCCTTGTCCGAGGATCCTCAGAATATTCATCAGGGATTTGGATCACTATTGGCCAGCTTCCTGGATCATCCCTGGTCAGTCGTATCAGCTTCTCGGATCATATCGTGATCTGCTACCCGTCACTGCCCCTCACGCCTAATGGTTCCCGCTGATCCTAGGATCAGTGCTATTCACTCATACGTCACTGTTAAGTGCTGCCCTCATGGCTTCCCCATCAAATAAACTATCCTTTTGCAACCATTGGATCATAACCAGCTCAATGGATTCACAGGTTGTTGTCTCATCAACCAACCACTATCATTAATCATCAATTTCATCACGATTGCCGGGATCTGCCCCTGCTCCACCGTGCCTTGGCCATGGGCGACAGCGCCTCGATTGCGCCCCCCATCGCTGGTCAGGCCTTCAGATGCAGGCCGTGTCTAGCAGTCCAGTGCGTCATAGGTTCGAGCGTTCTTTGGGATCATCGCAGCTCCTCGTGATCATGCAAAATCTATGTACGGCAAGGCAGGCCACTGCCATGCAAGCAACGCAATGTAGCCCATTCGATTCTGCCATCATCATTGTTAGGTTGTATGCGTCCAGTGCGTACGCTCACACACAGTCGCTCCCCATCTATGTTCCACCCAATCATTCCCCATTTTACCATATTTTCTGCTTGACCGGTCTCCTTCAAACCCCACTGTTCCCCACACGACAATACATTACACTCACACAGTTTGGTGTCCATCACCTCACTAATACAAGACCCATTCGGCGACCCACTTGAAAATATGCCCTATCACACTGGAGCACGGTGCGGCTCCTCCGGAGCGAAGGCAGGTTCATGCCTTAGTCACACACGGGCTGATGATGCCCTTCCGGGGCAGAAGATGTGCCCGTACTGTGCTTGCAAGTCGCGGGCAGTGATCGCCATCCAACCAAACAAACGAAAATCCCACTCGGACAGCAGCCGGTACACGTCAATGTACTTCCACATGACGTTACTGCGCCACTCTCCCCAGGCACGGATGCGGCTCTCGGGCACCTCCAAGGCGTAGCAGGCACTGGCGCCCCCGCTGCGCAGGCCGTGGTGACCGAACGCCTCTGGGGGTGGTGACGGAAGGGCACACTGCAGTAAAGGAAACCAGCCAGAAACCGTCCGCGCTGAGGGGGTCCTGCTCACCAGGTAGCGTGTAGAAATGGTGGCGGGAGCTGCCCGCGTCCGCCCATGCCTTGTCCCGTGTAGCCGACCAGCGGAGGAAGAGATCAAGGACGCTGGGCACGCCGTCCGATGGCCAGGAACGGCACCAGATACGGGGATCCGTGGAAGCCGAGAGCTTGGTCCAGCATTCCTGGAAAACGAGCAGGCCATTCTCCACGCGGAGGTCATCGAGGAGAACCAAATGGCCGCTCTACACCCGGTTCAAGAAAAGAAAGTCCAACATAGCCGAGCACGCCACGCGGAGCAGCCACAGATCGGAGGTCGCCAAGCCAAACTTCAGGATGCTCCGCAACAGATTTTTGGAACCGGCTGATGAGAATGGGCCGGTTCTGGTTCCTGCTGCCTCCACGCTCAAGCAAGGCGCCGGGTGATGGAATCGAAAGCGGAGAAGTCCAGGTGGCCCATTGCTTGGTGGACCATCGAAATGGCAACCAAATATTGTGGGAGGCTGCGGATCCCCACACGGCCTTCCTCCCGCAGAAAGCGAATGTAGCGGTAGATCGTCGAAGGCCCCACGGGAAGGCTTGCCAAGTCGTTCACCTCACAAAAGGTAGCAAAACGGGTGAACTTGGCATGCATGGAGCGCCGCGTGGACTCGGTATAAAAGGAAAGAAACTCGGCCTGCATCCTAGACCGATCGGACATAGACAGGCCATCCTCGTTGCAGCCAAACAATAGATGATTGGCGGGCATCTCCTCCACTAGAAGAGGGTCGGCCACCGGCGATCCCGAGCGGGAAGAAGGCGTCATGGGCCCCGAGTCGGAGCCCCACTCCGCGGCCGAATGTGGAAGGCGTGGAGATTCCACCGGGGGGTAGGCAGAACGGCCAGGATCGATGGATCGCCCGGGGGGAACATCTCCGGCCGGCAAGGTAGAGGTGGCCCCCTCTGTCTGTCCACAACAGAATTTGGTTGGCTCTGTTAAAATTCCGTACATTCAACGGAATCCGTGAGCGGGTCACAGAGAGAAAAAGTGTTTTACAGAAACGGGCGCGGCCATACTGACGTCAGCATACATGGCTACAGAAATCCACATAGTCTTCCAGAATGGAACCACATATTACGGAATCCGCGCCGCCATCTACGGAGGACAGGCCCCCCTTAACAGAACCGCTGACCAGACCACAGAGGTCGACAGAATTCCATCAAAGCTTACGGAGCAGCACAGACCTATCAAATGTACTGAACCCCAATACAGAAATTCCAACACCGTTCTGTTGAAATTCTGTAAGACGGGCAATCCCAGAGGCCTATATTTTGGCAAAGGTGATGGATAACAACCGCAGAGCGGGTCCCGTTCCTGGACCGGACAGCCAAACGCCTGGTTGAGTGTGCAACGGGTATACATGGCAGACGTGGAGTGCGATTGCCTGGATCTTTGATGGATTTGGCAGTGCATACTGCTCACCCCCGTGGCACATCCGTGTGCCCCTTCAAATTGTTGTTGTCCATCACGCAGGCAGAATGTACGCCCAAAGCGTTCCCAAGCCTAGTACATTCGATTGGCTGGCATGTGATCATCACATTGTGATGTGATGCCCCTGGGGTATGTGAAGTGCTGTGTCGGGGCCACCCGCCGCCAATTGCCCCCATGGCGTCGGTACCCCCAGGTGAGTGCAGTGCCGCCGCCACCGTGCCAGTGGTGATGGCATCGGTGGGGCGGGGGGATTGCTGTTCTACTCGGCTAGAGTACCGGCTGCAGCTTGGCCGGGAAAAAGCCACTGTTGTTGGGCTCGTGGTGTGCATGGGCGGTTGTTGTTTCCGAGATCGTGTTGGGGTGGGGTGGGGGAATTGCTGTTCTGCTCGGTTGGAGTACTGGCCGCGGCTTAGCCAGGAAAAAGCTATTGTTGCCGGGCTCGCGGTGTGTATGTGTGGCTGCTGCTTCTCCGAGATCATGTCGGGGTGGGGCGAGGGGATTGTTGTTGTGCTCGGCTGGAGTACCGGCCGCTGCTTAGCCAGGAAAGGGTTGTTGTTTTGTGAAGGCGCTGGGTGGATGGGCGTTTGGTAATGTGTTTTATTTTCTCCAATGCAAGCTCCGGCCGTGAGCATGCCACACCAAGGGATAATGCAGGTAGGGGGGTGAACTGGGCGACTGCTGCTTCTCTAAGATCGTATCGGGATGGGGCGGGGGGAATGCTGTTTTGCTCGGCTGG